ATTTGATGTTAGCTGTTGGTTGGCTGTATATTGCTTTTATTGTGTTTAGGTATGGACCTTGAATTCCTAATCTCTCCAAGACTTTTATCATGAAGGTGTGTTGTATTTTGTCAAAGGCTTTTTTCAGCATCTAATGAGATGGTCATGTGATTTTTTTCCTTTCAGTGTTTTTATATAATGGATTACATTGATGGATTTCCGAATATTGAACCATAACTGCATCCCTGGAATGAAGCCTACTTGATCATGATGAAGGATCATTTTGATGTGTTCTTGGATTCAGTTTTTGAGAATTTTATTGAGTATTTTTCCACTGATATTCATAAGCAAATTTGGTCTGAAGTTCTCTTTCTTTCTTTGATTTTTGTGTGATCTAGGTAACTGTGTAACTTGGGCTTCATAGAACAAATTAAGTAGTGTTCCTTCTGTTTCTGTTTTGTGAAATAGTTTGAAAAGTATTGGTATTAGTTCTTTGAAGATCTGATACAATTCTGCTCTAAAATCATCTAGCCCTGGGCTTTTTTTTTTCTTTTTCTTCTTTTTTTTTTTTTTTTTGGTTGTTGTTGTTATGAGACTTTTAGTGACTGCTTATATTTCCTTAGGGGTTATAGGACTGTTTAGATGGTTTATCAGATCCTGATTTAACTTTGGTACCTAGTATCTGTCTAGAAAATCATCCATTTCATCTAGATTTTCCATTTTTGTTGAGTATAGGCTTTTGTAGTAGATCTAATGATTTTTTTAGTTTCTTCAGTTTCTGTTGTTATGTCTCCCTTTTCATTTCTGATTTTTTTAAACCAAACAAACTGTGCCCTTTAGTTAGTCTAAGGATTTAACTATCTTGTTGATTTTCCCAAAGAACCAGCTCTTAGTTTTGTTGATTCTTTGTATAGTTGTCTTTGTTTCTAATTGGTTGATTTCAGGCCTGAGTTTGATGATTTCCTCCTGTCTTCTCCTTTTGAGTGTTTTTGCTTCTTGTTCTAGAGCTCAGATGTGCTGTTAAGTTAGTAATGTAGGATCTCTCTGATTTCTTTATGAAGGCACTCAGTGCTATGAATTTTCCTCTTGGAACTGCTTTCATTGTGTCCCATAAGTTTAGATATGCTGTGCCTTCATTTTCATTAAATTCTAGAAAGCCTTTAATTTCTTTATTTCTTCCCTGACCAAGTTATCATTGAGTAGTTCCATTTCCATGAGTATGTGGGCTTTCTGTTGTTTTTATTGTTATTGAAGACTAGCCTTAGTCCATGGTGATGTGATAGAATGCATGGGATAATTTCAATCTTCTTGTATCTGTTAAGTCTTATTTTGTGTCCAATTTTAAGGTCAACTTGGGAGAAGGTACCATGAGGTGCTGAGAAGAAGATATATTCTTTTGATTTAGGGTGAAATATTCTGTAGATATCTGTTAAATCCATTTGTTTCCTAACTTCTGTTAGTTTTACTGTGTCTGTGTTTAGTTTCTGCTTCAATGAACTATCCATTGTGAGAGTGAGGTGTTTACATCTCCCACTATTATTGTGTGAGGTTCAATGTGTGTTTTGGGGTTTAGTAAAATTTCTTTTACAAATGTGGATGCCCTTGAATTTGGGGCATAGATGTTCAGAATTGAATGCTCATCTTGGTGGATTTTTCCTTTCATGAGTATGAAGTGTCTTTCCTCATCTCTTTTAATAACTTTTGGCTGAAAGTCTATTTTGTTGGACATTAGAATGGCTACTCCAGCTTGTTTCTTGGGACCATTTGATTAAAAATGTTTTTCCGGAGCTGGAGAGATGGCTCAGCAGTTAAGAGCACTGACTGCTCTTCCAGAGGTCCCGAGTTCAACTTCCAGCAACCGTTGTTGTTGCTGTTGTTTTTGTTGTTGTTGTTGTTTTAACTCTTGTGCTGTCTTTCTCTTCTCAGGTTCATCTGTAATCTCATTGAAAGTAGGGGAACAATATTAGCACTTCCAGATCCAACACTTATCTCAAATACTGTCACATTTCCAATATGTTCTTAGCCTTGTCATAGCTTCCCATTGGTAGCACTGTCCTGGGCTATGCATTTCTCAGCCATGTGTCTCTAAACAACATCTAGCTTACCTTGTTTGTGCTTTATGGAAGTTGCATTCTCTGTACAACTCACTTTTCCTGTCAGTATCCTAACAATTCCTTCATTGTAGGATGGGTGAATTACATGAGAAAACTAGAAAACTTTGTTCCTTCACCATTTTCTCACATATAATTATGTCTCCAGAAAAATAAAAAAGCAACAACCTCTTGACTTGGGATGCTACGAAATGCAATGATATGAGTGCAGAGAAGTTGCCTTTAGACATGGTGACTTGGACAGCCACACAGTCAGTGTATATGGAAAAAGGGATTTCATACAGTGTGGGTTGGGAGTAAATATGAAGTGAGGAAGTGAAGACAGCAACAATTTTTACCTCTTTTCCAAAAATTCAGTGAAAGCAAAAATGTGGGGCAGTAGCTGTAAAGCATATGGTACTAAGAAACTCTGGTTTTTCTCTTGGGGATCAGACACAATACAGTTTATGTGTAAAACCATGACAAGAGTCCCAGGGAGGGGCCATGTATAATGCAGCAAAGGCAGTCTGAGTCCTGTGCAGAAAGAGAACACCACTAAAACTTCATTTGTATTCGTTCTTGAGTTTGTGGAGGGGACATAACTACAGAATTTGATTTCTAGTCTATAATAATCTGTTAGGTACTGGACCTTTAGCAAGCAATCCAGTGAGTAACGCCTTCAAATTTGTTGCCAATATGTAATTAGCTGAAGGCACTACTGCTGTGAACAAGTCAACTGATTTTGATACGGAACATACCCAGTCCTAATTAAACTGTCAGTGCCTGGACTGTGTAATTTGTGGAATTTGTTCAATATAGCAAACTGCAATGGAAAAAACAGGCTCTTTGGTGATAGCAAGAGTGGCCTCATTTCTCAGCTTTTCCAGTTATCAGCTTTGAGTCTTGTTCATCTGGTTTTGCCAACTTCCTCATCCACAAGTGTGCAGCAGGTGTTACCATGTGAGACATCCATATCAGAAAAGGGCTCAATGAAAACATGTGCATGGCAGTGGCCAAACTTTACCTTGTACTTTGAACTGGTTAGTGTCAGTTGCCTGTACTATTTAATTCTTTGCACCTGGACTATCAGATCTTGTGTCACCCTTTCATGTCCTGAAGAACTAAAAGCATTTCAGAGTCCTTTATGAAAGCTTTACTCATCTTGTAGTCCTCACTGCAAGAGCTATGTTACACCTAGTGGGGAAAGAAAGAGGAAAAAGGGCTTTAGAAAGAAAAAAAAAACACAAGTAGATGGTTATGAGAAGAGGGAGAGAGGAAGAGAGGGTAAGGGAGAGATGTGGGAGAGAGGGAAGGAAGAAAGGGGGAGGGAGGGAAAGAAGTGGGGGTGGGGGGTTACAAAGGGAAAGAACAGTCACAGAAGAGGCCCAGAGCCCCGCATGATGGGGAATGCAGGTTTTATAGAGAAGTCACAAGTGTTTTTAGAGCCAAGTTATTGCACAGTGCAAACCATCCCAGACTGGGCAATGGAATTAAACAGACTCATGCTCAAAGCCTGACTTCCATAATTATTAATTCACAGCAACTCAGTTTTCAAATGAGAAAATGGCTTCATAGAATGTATTAGGTAGCATTCTTTCTGTTTCTGTTTTATGGAATAGTTTGACAAGTATTGGTATTAAGCAACAGTTAAGTTTCCTGGCAATTTACCTTGCAACTGCATTATGCTCGATTCTCAAGACAGCTGCAATGACAGAGTTATTGTCTGTCAACTTTGTTTGACAGATGAGGAAATCCACTAAAGGGCATATTTGTTAAAGTTAGTGCAGCAGCATTTTGTGGTACATAGCCTAGCTTCTTGGTAATCCTTGCACTAAATATAGTCCCAGCCGGAAATGAGAAGAATAAAAGTTGGTGCTGAGAAGAGCCCACAGACCCTTTAGGCAGTGCTAGCACAGGGCTGCCCCAGCTTGGCTTCCTTTTTCCACTGCTAGTCTCTCCCCAGCTGTTTTAGCTTTTGTTATCCAGGTAGGTAGTAGGTGTTAATAGTTTATAAATTTTGTTCTGGTTGAGAGGAACTTTATTCCAGAAGGAACACCAGTGTAGCCTCACCTCAAACACACTGAGAGTTTCACTGTGAAGGAAGTTGGGTTGGAGCAACAGTAGCTGAGTTCAGAGGTTGTATTGATTGCACTTCTGGCTTACAGCAAATCTATCAAGTAAAAGAGAACAAATGTGTACACATGTGTGTCCGTGCTCATAAACACACACACACACAGCACAAGGTTGATAGTCTATCACTTTTTAAAGCATGTTTGCCTTTCTCAGATTCATTAATACTATATTCAGCCATTGTCTTATAGCATCAAGTTCATCTTGTGTTTTGACATCAAATACATAGCATTGCCTGGTTTTTTCATTCATTACTGAGCAATGTTTATTATATCCTAGATACTGTCTAGGTACTGTGACTTTTAAGGTAAATAAGATATGCCTTCCCTCCAAGTATATCACACCAAATAACTACTCTTCAGTCTAAGTTTAGGACTGGGGTGAAGATAAGTCTTGACATTTTTATTTGTATTTTATGTCCTTATGATACCTTGATTTTATTTATGTCCTATTTTCCCACATCCTCCCCCAAAAAAGAGAAAGATCTCCATATATACCTTGATTTTTTTTAACTTAAATACCTATGAACAATGAAACATGGGTTAATATATTTTAAAGGTAAGTTAGAAAATAAATTCTCTTCTCAATAGCTTTAATTTTTTTCCTTTTCAAAGTATCCATCTTTTTTTTTTTACTTTTATGCCAAAAAGTAAAAGAAAACAGGAAATGCTAAATCACACTGAAATTGAAATTAGTCTATAATAATTTCCAGAATTTTTCGTTGACTTTTAAAGGTACATATTTACTCTATTGTGTACATATTTATGTGACAATGTGCTTTTCACCCCTTACTCTTGTCAGAGCCTGTTGGGACGTTAGACATCTGGTACATGAAACAAGACATCGACTATGACAGACAGCAGATCTCTCTTTTCTGGAAGGTAAGCTTTCGATGTGAAATTCAAGGAGACTATTAACTTAATAGAGTCTGAGCGTATGTCCTTATGCTTCTACTGTGATTTTGAAATTGTACACTGGGAACACGGGAGCTCAGACAATTCCATGATACCTGCTCTAATGTCCTCAGCCCTCACCCCTCTTCTGTGCCCAGCATTTCTGCCTCTAAATTATACTTTCCCCTTTAGCTGCCACTCTTTCAAAACTGTGCTCAGCACAGACTTTCCGTCCTGTTGAGTCATCCTTGGGGAACAAAAGATGAGAAAGTTGTGGGTGTGGATGTTCGGGAATTTTTCCCACAGCTATTGAAAGAGCAAAGGTTTTAAGTTGTCAAAAATAACCTAAAGTGGTATTGGAAAGCAAGCACTCCTCAGTGGTAAAACAGGAACAACAGAACACAGAATGCTGCCTTTCTTATGAAGAGTCAAAGATGCACCTGAGCTGAAAGTCTCCAGTACCACCTCATTTATCTCCTACAAGCCAGGTGAGTTAGGCACTAGATATGCAGCTACCAGATGAAAATCCAAGTGTCCAGGGAAGGCAGTGCATCCCTAGGGTCATCCAGACACTAGAGATAAGGACTTGAGAGCCTCTCTAAACTTTTATCTGCTGCTTGATGAGTCATCTTTGTTGAGTCAAAACACAGTTTGAACTCAGCTTTGACCTGCTTACCCACAGGACAAGGTTTCCAGGCAAGGTGTTCTATATTTGATTTCCCAAAGCTCCTTCCCAGCTCTCCCCACTGCACGCGTGTGCGCGCGCACACAGACACACACAGACACACAGAGTGTCTGATACAAGAGATTCTATTAAAAAAATAACTTGTTGCATCATGACCAAGCCCTTAACTTCAAAACTATTGATGCAGTTCAAAATGAAGCTGCTTTCAAGAACAGTGCTCAAAGTAAGCTATGCAGAGTGATAACTTGTGAACAAAAACTCCAAACTGGGTGCTGTCCAATGGCACCCAGATGATACCACAATACCACACTGGGGAGAGGGCTAGAGGACATGCATATGAGTTTTCTTCTTTAACAACACAGATGCACACCATAACTGTGAAGAGAGGTACCAAGGAAGTTCAAAGTAGATCTACACTAGCCTGTGAAGACAGTGACAGAGTTGTTATTATTGAATGAAAGGAAATGTGAAATTGTTCTCACACTTTCATAGGGTGTTTACCTTAAAGGAATAAGTAGGTGCTGAGTGGGTGCAGCCCCCACTGAGTATGCAGGTGCAGGTGTTAAGTGTACTCATATGTATATCCTGTGGGTGGGTGGGTGTGTTATGATATTGTGTCATGCATGTGTGAGTGTGTTTGTACATATATAAGAGATGAGTGTGAACATAGAAGTTTGTATATGTAAGGTAGCGATCCTGTGAGCATGTAGGTAGGAATGACGTGTGTATGTGAGTGAGTCAGGATGTTAGAGGGTAGGTTTAGGTATGTGTGCAGAGGACGGTCTAAAGTGTGTGGATGTGTGGGTGGGTGAGTGGGTGGGTATGTACCTGTGTGGATGAGTGGATGTGTGTCTGTGTAGGTGTATGGATGTGTGCCTGTGTAGATGTGTACCTGTGTGGGTATGTAGAGTGTGCCTGTGTGGATGTATGCCTGTGTAGGTGTGTGGTTGTATGCCTATGTGGGCACTCAGATGGGAAAGACTTCACTTCTTCATTGAGTTTCCACAGTTCATCACTTTCTCGTGTCTCAGTTTCTCCTGAAGACTTCATTTCTTTAAAAATAATATCTTGTACTTTGTAATATTTAAAAATTTATTATCACATGTGTGCACATGCACAGATGTATCCATAGAAATCAGAAGACTTTGTAGAATCAATTCTTCTCTTCCACCATATGGGTCACAGGGTTCAAACTCAGGTCCTCAGCCTTGGGACTAGTGCCTTTTCCTGATAACACCATTTCACTGGCCCAATATCCTGTAAGTTTTTAGCCATAGCTATTTTTAAAAGTGTTATCTATTGTGAAACCCAAGCATTTGATATAATCTAAGAAATATATGAAATGCAGTGCAGAAGAAATGCTGCAAGATCTATGGCAGGCTCTGCAGCATGGCCCCTTCACTAGGGACATCCTCCCAGCCCCTGCCTACTGGACAAGGCTTCATGCCATTTGCTCTGCTTTCATACCTGCTCACTGTGACTCCCTGTGTGCTTTTCTCCCAGGATAATACACCATGAATCCTTTAAAGGAAAGCTACCTTCAATGTGTGGGTTTATATGAGGACTAAAAGAAATATGGCAATGTGATAAAATCGCATTGTCCTTTATACTTGCCTCTTGATTTCTTCAGTCTTGATCAAAAAATCATGTTTGAGGCCAATTGATGTGGAAGAGTGATGTCTGTGTCCAAATGAATCTCTGCTCACTCATGAACTCATCCATTGTGCCACTGAAACAAGCAAGCATAGCTTTTCAGATCAATACACTTGCTACCTGGTAGGATGTGGAAGCCCTACAGTCCTTAAGTCCTGAAGTTCACAGGCCAGCAGGGGAACAGACATAGACGCAGGGTGACAAAGAAGAGTTCAAGAGCTAACCAAGAGATTCTGGTCAATCACCCAAGAGAGCACGAATAAATACTAAGAAGCCGTTGGAGGGATGCCACAGCCATTGAGGCTAGAGCTAGCCCCAGAAGCAAGAGTTTCTGAGGACAGGGGTGAGAGGTCATTTGTTGAGAGACCTGGAACTGAAACTTCATTATGAAAAGTATTACTTTAGTGAACCATTGTCATGTAAGCAATATCTTAGTGAACCACTGTTCTGTATAAATGGAGGATAAGCCACTAATAGGAGCCACACATGTGCTTTAAAATGTTCTTCTAGCCATACTTACTTATTTTGATTTGAGATTTAGTTTCAGGGGATTGTATTGTTGTTTGTTTGTTTGTTTGTTTGTTTAAGACAGGGCTTCAAGTTGACCTTCAATGCACTCTGGAATCCAGGGTTGCTTAGAACTTGAAGCAATTCACTTGACAAAGGTTTTGAAATGCTGAGATTACAGACCTTCTCAAAACAACAATGACAACAAACAAAAATCAACAGCAAGAGCAACTGTGAAATATTGGTTTTACTGCAGGATTCCAAGCTCTCCTCTTTCCTCTCCAGTCCTTGCCCTCTCACTTACCAACATTTCTAAAGACATTTATCTTGGAGAGAAAAGGCTGTTCTTCCCCAACTGCTAATTACATATTATTCCAGCTAAAAGGTAGGGGGTTCTGGTTAGGGAGCAGAAAGTGGCCAAAGACAAAAATTGATGCCATTGAGGGCAGAGAGTTAACCAAACTAGAAAGCAGAAGCAGAAGAGGAGATAGTTTTCTTTCATAAAAGGCTTCCATGCTTAATAGCATTTCTAGCTGCAAAGTGAGATAGAAATCATGACACCAGAGCAACACCCATGAGATTTCATTCTTGAGTCAATCATCTCACAAGCAGAGCACCCTGGATAGAGCTCATATAAGTGCTAGCTGGTCCAGCTAAGTGTCTATCTTCTAGTATAAAGAAAGCTGTGCTACCTGGTTCAACTTCTGTCATGTGGTGTGTGTGTGTGTATATGAGTCTGTGTGTGTATGTCTATGTGTATATATCTGTGGTATACGTATGTGTAAGTAATGTATGTGTGTGTGCTATGTGTGTTATAATTTTTTAGTTTATTTTGGCTATTTCATATACATACATAATATAGTTATTTAATGTCATATATGTACACAATGTACTTTGCCAAGAATCACACCCATTATCCTCTGTTGCCTACCTCTTGCCCTACACACACACACACACACACACACACACACACACGCACACTGAACTGCTTACTTCTTTTTTAACTAGTTCTGATCCCACTTTCATGTCTTTTTTCATGTGTTTGTGACCCACTGGGTTCAATTGAGCTTGTATACATGAGCATGGGTAAAGTGGTATTTACTGGAGGTTGTGCAATTTACAGTGGCTACACCACTGAGAAAAATGACACCCCTGCCATAGCAACCCACTCAAGATCAAAAGCTCCTCAAGGAGGGGTAAGTACTCACCAGTATCCTCTATCCTTGATGGAATGCTGATGGGCTTAATCTTACTCACATGTGTTCAGATAACTACAGCTACTGTGGTTTTATAATCAGTGATACACCTACTCCAACAAGATTATACCTCCTAATAGCGCCACTCCCTGGGCCAAGCATATACAATCACATATACCATCACAGAAGGTCTTTCCATCTTCTGGTGTATTCTTCAATTTCTTTCTTCAATGTTTTAAAGTTTTCATTGTAAAGGTCTATTCTTTCCTTCCTTGAATTTATTCCTAGATGAGTTTGATGGCTTTTATTTATTTTGTTTCTGAAGCTGAGTGGATTATTTTCCTGATTTTTTTTCTCACCATGATTCCCATTAGTATATAGGAAGATGCCTTAGATACGGTTTTATTACTGTGAAGAGATACCAAGACCAAGATAACTCTAATAAAGAGAAACATTTTATTGGGTCTGGCTTACAGTTTCATAGATCCATTTCATAGGTCCATTATCATGGCAGGAAGGATGGCAGTGTGCAGACAGACATGGTGCTGGAGAAGCTGAGAGTTCTACATCTTGATCTTCAGGCAGCCAGGAGAAAACTCTTCCAGACTGGGAGGAGCTTGAGCATTAGGAGACCTCAAAGCCCACCCCCACACTGAAACTCTTCCTCCACAAGGCCACACCTCCTAATAGTGCCACATCCCATGGACCAAGTCTTCAAACACATGAGTGCATAGGGGCCAAACCTATTCAAACCACCATAGATTTTTATATGTTTATTTTGTATCCAACCACTTTATTGAAAATGTTTATCAGCTTCAGGAGTTTTTCTTGTAGAGTCTTTATCTTATGTACTGAACTATATTATCTCAAATAAAGAACTTTTTAATTCTTCCTTTTCTATTTCTAGTTACTTTCATTGCCTTCTCTTGACTATTACTCCAGCTATG